ATTTCTCAGCTCTCCTCATGCATCCAAAGGCCAAATATATCATCACCTACCAGATAAAACAAGTAGGCATTAAATTCCTGGGGGGAAAAAAATTGTGAAAAGAGAAGTAGTGCAGTGCAGAAAGAGTACAAAAGTTTGGCTGATAGAAGAAGAAGAAAAAAAAAAAGGAGAGCTTGAATTATATACAAAATATATACAAATAACCTTGCACATCTGAAGAAAGAGAAATAGTAAGGTAGAAGTTGGAAAGGAAGCAAGGAAGAAGCTGGAAGATATAAATTTTTGTAGCAACAACCACTTCAACAGTCTAGCATCTTTCATAATCTTGGAAATCCTATTTGTGCAAATGGGAGCAAGTAGTAAAGCACCCCTGTTTATTTATAAACCAAATCTCTTCCAGCTTTCTTTCGCCACTGAGATTGTAATGTGTGATTATGACTTGTTGTTGCAATATTATATGACACAAATATATTTATCAAGAAACTGATATCATAGTTGATATTAACATGATACAGATTGTGTTTGTATCACCCCCAGTTAGRTCAGGGAGGCCCTTCCTGATAGACATTTATCCCATTTATTTAGGGGCAAATTGGCAATCTAATTTCTAGAAGGCAACGTGAGAAGGCCCAGTTGAGTAAGGGGAAATATAATCAGATTAATTCCATGTAACACTAATTTATATTTTAGCCTTTGTTGCCAATGCATGCAACAGGTACRCGATACATGAAATTAAAAAGCCATTGCTAATTAAAAGCTAGTTCATATATTTGGATCCCATCATCCCTTAAAATAAAGGGATGAGATAGATCTTTTCCACAGCAGTGAMTGCCAGTGTCAGGACCATGAGAGAAAAGTACAGCAAGAAGTTTAGGACAATGGTAAGCTGTACCTCTCCTCCTCTCCTTGCCCCACAGGCTTCCCGAGTAAAAAGCTACAACCAGGTGTTGCTAATGAGTCAGCAGTGGGAGCATCAGGAGACAATATGATACAGAAAAAAATCACACTTCCTGTAATTCCAGATTTTGACATTCTTATTTCCCCCACATACAGGATGCTTAGGAATCAAAGGAAGCAAGGTAGAATATGAAATCTTGGAATTTGTGCAGGGCATAGATACAGTGTTCAGGAATCCTCAAAATAAAGAGAACTCGCCCTTTACTTTAGAACTGAGAGCAGCATTGATATGCTTCAGAAAATCTCTATTCTTAGAATTCAGAATTTACTGCTGCATCTTTCTGCAATGCATTTTTTCCTCTCTCTCTTTAGGACAGAGAATTTAAGAGGATCAAATTCTATGGCTCGTCAGAGCCTGCAGGCAAACAGAATTTTCAGATAAYTGTTATGAACTTTAAGCCTCAGGTTGTTTGGAGACTAAGTTGTGCAAAATAAATTAATAAATAGCTCAGATGATTATTTTTGAAACCTGAAGTACCACCTTCTGCATGTTTCTTTTTTGACTGTAAAACTCTACCTGGAATCCAAATCCTTGAATGCTTAGGCCATCTAAATTGTACAGATGTTTCACTATAACATAGAATATTAGTCATGCAGACCAGTCCTAATCTTTACAGCAAAAGGCTAAATATAGAGCATGCATTTTAAGCTTTATGCTTATACATTCTAACTTGTCTTTAGTAAGTCAGTATAACATTATATTTTCTGTTACTTCATCTCAATCATCTCTGTCAACTCAGAGTTACTATTGTCCAAACACCTCTTACTTGTGCCAAAATTAATGAGTTTCAGAGCTGAGCTTGCAAAATAACAGCAACCAGTTTCTACAAGGCCAAAAGGGAAAAAGAGAGGCAGATTTTTCTACAGAAAACAGAACAACATAATATTCTTAACTGTAGAAATAATGTATTTAAAAAAAAAAAAAAAATCCTGCTCCTGAATCCAATCGCACTAGACCTTCTGTAAAACAAGACAAAACAACCACTGGACTGGAAAGCAGTTTGAGTTAGTTTGACAAAAACAGACAATAAAAGTTGCCCATGAAAGCCATTCAAAAAAAGCAAAAAAAATCCCTGCCACCACCCTCTCTGTAACCCACCTTTTCAAGTGGGCAAATGCCCTTTCTCTACTGTAGCTCCCCACCSCTTGCCATAACCACAGGTATAATCTAAATCCAAACACCTGGATTCTTTCCCCTCTCCTTTATCCTCATTCCCCTGATCTCCTCCTACCTTTGCTCATCCTTCTCAGCTGCTAGTTGCTCTKATTTAAATGCAAGAGTATTAACTGTAGAAGATGAGAATCAGGTCTAAGTAAGGGGTATCCACATGATGATGATTGAATTAGCGATCTTCACTGACTGCCTTTTGAGATTAAAACAACAACTAAAAAAAAAAAAGAAAACCCTACCTTTTTGAGATTAAAAAAAAAATACCCTACCGGTAATGGTATGATATTGTAGTTAGCTTTATGGATCCTCCTCTTTCTCCCATTACTTGTTTGACTTCACCTGGCTTGCCAAGGAGAATTGTGCACGCATGTGCTAGGCAGAATTAGCCTGTTCTGGAACTCATACATGGGAGTGCAAACTATAATGTGCATTTCTTAGCTTCTGGTAAAGAATCAGCAACTGACTGTCATTGTTTGCTGGCTGATTTCCCCTATTTATACCTGTAAATCTCACAGCATCCATTTGTTAACTGAAAACATAACATGGACATTGCTTTGGTTGTCAGAGCCATGCAAGTCTTATGAAAATTCATTAGGATGCCAGGCACACTTTCTAGTGATTTCAAGTGGGAATCTAAGTATTAAAAAATTATCTACAATACTTCAACGGCGATGCAGAAAGATTCCCAGATGAAAAGCCCCTTACAAACTTTTTTTTCATTGATTTGAGTAATGCAGACCAAAAGATTAATTGACACAGCAAGAAATTCATATGCTATTCAGGCATGTGCTGACATTTTTTTCAGCATAACCAGAAAAATGTAATCCATGCAGTTTGATGGTGGGAGGTGACTAGAAATAAAGTTCTCAGAAGTGCTCTCCAACAGCACCTCCATTCCTGGTCAAGGCAATGTTGAGAGATRTGAGGTAAGGTAGAATTAGATCAATTTCTATCCATTTGGGGAAAAAAATGCCTATAATCTACTTAAAGTGAAGCCAGTTCTACTGCTTTTGAGCCCCGTTTGACTCCCAAGAACCAAAAGAGTGGCACAAGAGTTCGGACTATACGTGTGAATGACAGAGGGTCTATACTGGAGCTATTAGCAACAAGCAGGTAGAATMTACTGATGTGAATACAGCTGGGGCTCTTTGGACCTAAGATATTCAGTCTCATCTTGCTTTTTTCTTTCTTTTTTTTTTTTTTTCCCTCCCCAGGGCATAGTTCTGATGATAAATTTAGTGAGAAACTATTAAAGATATGCTACTTCTAATTAGAAACCTAAATTTCAGTTTTTCTGTTAGAAATCTTCTGGAAAAAAATAGAGCAAATACTTGGAATTCAGCTGTACTGGATATTACAAGWGGTTCCAAGTAATGACTAATAAAATTAGACCTTCACATAAAAATCATCTTCTTGTGAAAACCTTTCAAAGTGGAAGCTTTTTATTAATAGACTATAAAATGAATTAGCAAGTCTACTCAATAAAAAAGCTTGCAATTCCTACTGATTAAGTTAAACACATAGAACTACATTTTTATATAGTGAGAAATTGCTGCATATTTACAGGATATAAAGAACAAATATGGAAATTGGGCAATACCCACKGCATTATATTGAACTTTTGGCTGGTGTCAAAACACGGCAATTTCTCATACCATCAGATTGCTATGGCATTACCCAATGAAATATTGTTGTCTAGAATCAGAATTTGGTTATTCAAATACTTAAAGCATGTTTACTGTGATTTTCTGCATTATTCCAACAATAACAACAAGACATTAGAGACAAGGTCAGTAGTCTCAATTACTTATGTAAAGTGCTGGGATTACATCCCAGCGTTGAGTTAGCAAAATTACCAAATGACCTAGCTTTGAAGAAAAAAAAAAGAAAAAAAGAAAAAAGAAAAAAGTAGGCCAAATTCCATCATATGAAATCAGCATTGTAGAGAGATATATGAATAAATGGCCAAGAAAATGAGAGAGGGACAGGGGAAGAAAAGGAAATTAATTTGAACAAAGGGAAGAAGAAGGAGAAAGTGAGACTCTCAGAACGGACATGATGTTCTGGGGCCTTACAAGATCCCAATTAAGCTCTGAATTTCAAAGGTCTTTTGATGAGGAAAATACTGGAATTATTTTTTCTTTCTTCCAATAAGGGATGGGTTCTTAATTCCATTGTTTCTCTGACCCACATAAAACAGAATCCAACAGTAGTCGGTAAAATACAAGTACCATCATTTATTTTTTTAAATCAACTCGACCACAAATGCATTTTCAAATTTCAAAATTAAAGTAATGAATTAAGGAATATTTTATCTTTAAGTATAAGGAATAAAGAATAGGTGTAAAATCTCTTCAACGCATATATATATATATATGTTTGTATATGCACTTTCATGTGTGTGTGTAAACCCACTAATGTTAAACTTGACATGCTTTTTACAGCCCATTGCAATGTGAGAGTTATCAGAATACAAGTATTATTAGGGAACAGCAATATACTGCCACATCCCCATATAATCCAGTATTAATGTCAAGGACCATCTACATCTGAGAAAAGGTGTTCTAGTTAAACAACATTCCTTAGGGGACAAACAATTTTGATTTTTTCACTTGTTAGAAAGTTCTAATATTTAGCATACGCAGTTACAATAATAGACTAATTGTCTAATATTTTAACTATATATAGGCCGAATTCTCAATAGCTTCAGATATAAGCAATTCTTCCTACATAATGAGATAGCAATGAATTATATTGTATTAGTTTTAATTTGTAAACACTACTCCAATAAATGCAAGCAATAGGAGGCTAGTAAGTAACTTATCCCTTGATCATGCAAGAAGAGCAAAAAGTAATAGAGAAGAATCAATACCTTGTGGCGTAATCTTACTAGAGGCTGATAGGGCTTAAAGTCGTATCCTTCCTTGGCTGGCCACCCGTCTGTTCCCAACAAAAGGCATCCAAGAAATAAAGCAGCGGACCACCACATAAACATCTTTACAGGTCTGTTTCTGTCAAAATAAAATGTAATAGTTCAATGACAGACTGGTCAGTTTTGGTGCAAGTCATATGGTAGWAGTTTACGATACTGCTGTTCAAGTCAGTTTGTGGACTTGAACAAATAGAATCAAAACAGAGCACTACATCTGACAGAAAAAAAAAAAGGAAGCAATATTTGGGACACCATTAGGTGGGTTATACTGAACTGAACATTTTCTTGTATGCATTTGAACTGAACATTTTCTTATATGCATTCATATGAGACTTTGAGGAAAAAAAATAGGGAAAGCTTCAAAAGAAAAGGAAAAAGGACATAATAGAAAAGCTGTGATTACAAAAAAGTCAGCACTGTTTTTTTAAAATGAAAAAAGTGATCATCAGTGGCATGGTCATCAATCTTTTTTTTTTTTTTTTTTTTTTCAAATAGAGTCCCTCCAGACATACTGTTCACATCCTGAAATATACTAAAATAAACAAAGTATTTGTTATATTGTATTATTATTGTCACTATCATATTGACATTGAAAGTCTTAACTGTAAGTAAAACACTGTATTTCCTGCCAATGTTCAGGATAATTTTTTATATCACGCTATTGCAATTGTGTGTATTCTATAAACTTCATAGTATGTGTCAGCATTACATGAATATTCCCAGTCTGTTAAGTAAACTCCCTAAAATTTGTTCCAGAATGACCCATAATCAAACGTAAACTGAAAGGCAGATTAGTTAAAAACCTTAATTTGATTGTTTGGGTTTTTGATTTTTCATCCAGGATGAAACTTTGAAATAACAGCTATTTCAAAGTATTACAACATATTATCTCTTACTGTGATTGCAGAAGGGATTCAATAGCTATGCTTATTTCCATAAATAATAGCACCTTGTTGTATAAGAATYTGAAAAATCACAGAAGTTAAACAATGCTGCCTAACTGTGTTATGACGTAGCAAAATCTGAAAGAAGTAATATTTACATCCGATCTTTTATTCCTAATGTAAAGCTTAAAAAATATAGGCTTCTATTTCACCTTCACAGATGAAATCTAAGTGTTATCAAGAGTGAGAAAAAGAAAGGATAGGGCCATCTGCGCTGCCTAACACATAGAATCTCCTGTTCTTTGGAAAGAGCAGAAGGATACCATCCATTTATGATGTAAATATTTAACTATTTGATTTGAATATTTATTTCTTAAATCAATCAGCTGATCATCCTTGCAAGGGATACTGAAAAAAGCGCACAGAGTTTGTATCAGGGTTGCTTTTGAGGGAAGAAAAAGGCATTGTAACTCTGTAAAGATAAATGAGAGCCATGGAAGGCCTATTACAATCATACTCACAGATTTTATAGGTACACTTTGCACGAAAGTCCCAGTTATATGGTTCCTGCTGGGCCTACAAATGTTCATTTCCCTATGTGCATCTGTGCCTATGTAGATGTTCAATGTTTACTATAGATACTCTGCAACTATATTTAAAGAATCATGTTAAACAGACAACACAGCAAACTGTTCTTCATCACTTGGAGAAGTGTACGAGTCATTCTGTTCAGTATTATTCAATTCTGAAACAGGGGATAGAGATGTTCAATTTCTATACAGGCTGGCTTATACATGAGTGTGTATTAAATTTTTCCCTTTGTACCCAGCTGCTACCTTATCCTGCCAACGTAGAGATCTCTGGTAAGAACAAAGACATACATGAATAGGTATAAAAAGTCAGATGGGTGTCCTAAGAGCCTGAGTGTGTACAGAATGTTAAAGTCTTGGCTATCATTTCCTTTTTCATAGGAACTCAGCTGAGCATAAAAGGTGAACAAGTAGGGAATCACTTATTATCCTGTATCATTTTACAGCCATGCTCCTGGCAATCCCATTATACAAACTGTGACTTTGACTGCTATCATTCTTCATAGCGCTGGAGCCTCACGCTCACCTGAAGGCTGAAGAGACCTAATTCCCATGGAGCTATCAAGAACAACTGTATTAAACAGACTCCAGGCATAACTCTGTTCCCAGTCTCACTAAGGGGACCCTACATGAACCAGCTCCCCTTTTTGGGGTAGTCCACTGCCCTCTGTAAAGCCAATTACCATTTTCTGCCTGTTTCATTCCTGTCACAGGTTACTTGTATGGACCCTTTTCAGTTTTCATTGACTTTCAACTCAGTTCTGGATTTGAGGCTAATATACCATGCTGCCTTCACAGTACCAKCTCTTGTTCCATCATGAACAATCTCATCTTTGGTCTCTCTGTTAAAGAAATTTAAGATTTCTTCTTGCTTRCTATTGCCTTTCTTGTTCCAACAGCTCCCACTTCAAGTTATATTTCTTTTGTGCTCTAGCTCTTCAAGTATACATCACAGTGGTATTCATAGGAGATTATTTGAAGGGTATATTAAGTAATGAATGACCTAAAGAAAAGACTACATGCTTTTGTACAGGGAAATATCTTACATAAACAAGATAAAGTTTGCTCTTTTACACCTGTCCAGTAACTGSATATTAAAGTGATAATAAAAAAAAATGACACTATGGAAAAGGGATTTCTTCAGCTTCCACTTTTGTACTCCCATCAAACCAGAACTGCTGATCAGGTGTTCCAAGGGACTTCTGAATGTGGGATTATTTAAACAATTTTCGCAGTGTGACATGAAATATTTATATAATAGATCATTTCAGAACCCCATGAATATCATGGAATAGCATTTTCCCCTGCTTTTTCCACCTTGACTTCTAACCTCAAACATTTGTTATTTCTGTTTATTGAATACGTTCTTTGGACAGAGGTTATTGTTCGCTCTCGGGGTCAGAATTAGTTTAACAGTTATGCATAGGAAAGCTAGCTAGGCACACTTGAACCTTTGTYCCTTTCTGTGTACTTTTGGAATATCTCTCTGTACAATGAAAAATGGGTTGCAGAACAGTCATTTCAAAGAGGACAGCAAGGGCAGCCACATTCCAGCRGCCTCCCATCTAAACTGCATACATTTCAGCCTTATGTGGTGTAAAAGAATAGAGGCCTTATAGTTTTGAAAATTGTTTGACCTTAAAAAGCTGCTCCTTTGTACTTGTCCAAAGAAGAGAAAATTATTACATGCTCAGTCTCCTGACTTCATTGCCTCTTACTTGGATGAACACTTAAAATGTAAATTAAAGAAGAATTCAGCTTCTGGGACAGCTTCTGTCTGAAATTCCAGAAGTATATACCGTATCTGCAGCTTTTATTTGTCTTTTAAGAAAAAGAAATCACATTTTAAAAGTCTCATAAATAAATGAATCTGATTCATTCCTTGTAAAAGTTATATTATCAAATGATCACAGAAATATCATGGAAAATAAATGACATTTTCTTTTTAAAGGATGCTTCTATCAGGCTCTTTTGGGGCAGGYGTAATGATATTTTATGAAATGATTTTTGCATTAGTAGAATTAATCTTGTTTACATGTTGAATAAATCTATTGGGTTTTATATTTGAATGCTTGGARAGAATTTTTTTTTCCCTGTTATTTTTTTTCTGATAATTTTTCTGTAAACTTTTTTTCCCACTGATTACATATTTGCATCATAGTTGCTCTGTGGCAGGGTGGGGTATTATTGTAAGTGACTGCTTTCATTTCCACTTATATTTTTCTGTTGGTTACAAATCAGGGGACATATAGAGAGAGTTTTAAGTTACCAGAACCCTTTTTAGTAACCTATTCATGACAGTCAAATACATGAATGACTTGAAACCATTCATATATAGTAGTGTCATATGAATAACACTTAGCTGGCTTTTACCCTGCACAGGGTATTATATAAAATAATGTATTTTTCAGAASAACTGAGGATAAGTGAGCTTAAAGAATTTCGGGGTCAAAAAAAGTGGTTCATGGAATTAAATATCATTATGTCTCAAATTGTGTCTCAGAGGAAATACTGCTGAAAATCAAAGATTTAAAGCATTATTGATATGAATTTAAGACATTTTAAGTATTAGAGTTCAACCAGTATAGCTCATTGTAGAGTTTCTTGGCAGTCTTTCACTTTTTTTTTTTTTTTTTTACTATAGCTATTTGGGAGAGCGGAAAAGAAGGTTCTACTTTAATTTTCCATACAGTCTCTCTAGTTATTTCTCAGAAATCTGAAGTTTCAGGGGGAGAGTGGATTCTTTTTTAATTAAAGATGAATAAAGCATTAATCTTGCTTTCTGTCTCCCAGGGCACTCTCCACTAAGGAACTGCAATAAGCAGCTGCACAGCCAGAAAAGACACAGGAGAGGCCAGCTTTGAAAGAAACAATATGAGAATTAGGMAAGTGCAATTCAGTTACATTTGGCAATTTCAGAGAAGTGCTGTTAGAAGGATATTTTTCTTCTTCTTGGGTTAGAGACATTACTGAGGCATCACTCAGAAGGCAGAGTGTGAACTTGCTTGTGAAAAGCAGTGAAATCGGTGTTAAAGAGCTACATTCCTATGTGACCTTTATCATTTTTTCAGCAATGTATTTGTTTACACACRATGCTAGCTCATATTACATACTCATATAAATGCAAACTGTATACATTWCAATACAGATCTTACATATTTGTAAAGATTTCAAGATAAAATGGGACCATCACTTGTAACATGTTGCTTAATACCATTAGCTGCCATTTTCTAGCAATTGAGTATGTGACCTCTTTTTGTCTTCTGGAATTATTTAAGTACTGAACTAAGGCCTTGAAAACAAAGGCATAAATCCCATCAGCATATTTCCATGACTTTTTTTTTTTTAAATATACATTTATCTTAATTTTTACCTACTCAAACAACAGCTGCCATTAAGCAGTTATTAATCAAACTGTGCCTTATATTTTCAAAAACTTATCTCTAGTTGTTAACTTGTGCTAAGTCCTGATAAGATACGTTAAAGGGAGGCAAATACTATTTAATTACTACTTATTATTACTTTGCTGTTCTATATTGTGGACTACTTCCAAAATTTTCTCTGCCAGCCTTAAAAGTTGAGAAGGGATAGAGTGAAGGATGTGC